AGCCAAAAACCGAGACTTCTATTATATAATAGTTTTATCTTACCCCACATAAAATATTTAATTCCATGCTGGGGAAATACTGCTAATTGTCATATAGAGAAATTGCAAAGAGCTCAGAATAAGGCAGTAAAGACAATTTTTCAAATAGACTTCTATACGTCGACAAAGGAAGTATATAAACAAACAAAACTCTGGGACATTAAAAAAATAAAAGAATTTGAACAAACAAAATTCATTTACAGTATAAAAAATAAAGTCATAAAAATCAATTCAAATATACAACAAGTTAAAAACTACCATAGCTATGATGTACGCAATGCCGATCGATTAAGAAACCCCATGGTTAGGACTGTGAAAACTCAGAATTCTCCACTCTACAGAGGAATCCAAACATATAACCACATACCACAAAATCTATTGGAAGTGAATAATATGAAAGAACTTTGCTATAACCTTAAAAGACATTTTTCACAATCAGACTAAATTATTTAAAACAGTACAAATTAATATGTGAATATGTAGTATAGGAATATTTTGAAAATTATTATTTGTAAATAACTGAAAAATAGGCTCAAATACCAGTGTATTTACACTGATTCTGAGTCATAAATAAATAAATAAATAAATAAATAAAAAAAAAAAAAAAAATTCAGCATGATTGGATAGTGATGATGAGATGATAGATATCAACAAAATTAATTTTGGTTGCGTTTATACATCAAAAAAACTGAAAATGTTTCAACAACGTAAACAAAACTACTGGCGCTGTTGCCAGCACCATATGGTGTTAATAAATTACTGTCTCGATATACTAGCTCCGTGGGATATCTTTTCTTTTTAAAAATTTTAATAATCCATTTTTGAGCCACTTGAAGTTTAGTCATAACAGTCGAACCTGCACAGCCCCACACCACTATACCATAATCTATAATTGACTCCACCAAAGCAGTATAAACCATTTTCATATGCTTGAAAGTTAAGACATTCCGCAATTCATAGAATTTAAATATTAATTTTCTTATTTTCCCTGTTACATATTTTACATGTTCTTTCCATGTAAGATTCTCATCTAGAAACATTCCTAAATACTTTACACATTTTTTTCTTTCAATATATTTATCACATTTACAGTTTATGTCAACTTTACAATTTTGATGATGCAATATTAAATCCTGGAAGCCTGGCAATGAACGAGAGGAAAGAGAAAACGCAACAAACTTTGTCTTTTCAAAATTGAGCGATAATAAACTGAAGTCTAACCATGTCTTAATTTTTTCATAGCTCTTTCAGCCTTCATTTTTGTAGAATCCCAGTCATCATCGCTGATTATTATGCCTGTGTCATCAGCGAAACAATAAACATTTCCCTCATCCACCACAGACAATATACCATCAATATACACATTAAACAGCAAAGGGGAAAGCACTGTACCCTGCGGGACACCAAATTTGGCCATTAATTTATTGCTTCTTTCATTCGACAGTTTTACAGAATGTGTTCTTCCCTCTAAATATGATTTAATTAAATTATTTGCAACTCCTCTAACTCCAATTATATCAAGTCGATTTAAAAGTATTTGGTGAGCCACAGTGCCAAATGCCTTTTGAAGGTCAAGAAAAATGCCTATAACTTTTTTTCCTTGATCGAGGTTTTTCAGAATATTTTCAGTTACACAACATAAGGCATTCTCCGTGCTAGAGCCCTCCCTGAAAGCAAACTGGTTTTCACCGAGCAATTTATATTTTTCTAAATATACCATTAATTTCATTTTAAAACATTTTTCTACCAATTTGCTTATAGTACTCGTTAAAGTTATTAGTCTATAATTACTTGCTAATTTTTTGTCTCCTTGTTTATATACCGGTACAATTATTGAACTCTTTAGTACTTCAGGGAAAACTCCATTACCGAATATTACATTAATAATATGGCTGATTGGTTTCATTAATTGAATATGAAATCTTTTTATTATGTTTGAACTAATATCATCTTCTCCTCCTTTCACATTTTTATTGAGGCTCATTATCTGTTTGAGAAGTTCCCTGTCTGAAACAGGTGTCAAAAAGAAGGAGCCTGCCGTTCTCTCTCCCTCTCTCATGGCATGTTTGTCATAGAATCTATTCTCTGTTATTCTTTTTGCCAAGGCCTCCCCTATATTGTTAAAGTATCTATTAAATTCGTTAGCTACTGCTTTTTTATTATTTAATTCTATGTTTTCATCATTAATTACACTTTTCATGTCTATGTTATTCATAGTGATATCATACGCTATTTTTTATTACGAATGCATCATAATCTGAAAAAGGTTTCCAATGTGTTCATTCATTCTGATAAATAGTAATTTAAATGGCAGGTAAATAATTAGGTAATAAAGGTAGATCAAACGTTTCCAACCTTTGAAAAGGTAGGTGCAGTTATTGATGATATAAGTGCTAAAAGTGACATTTTATTTTGTGAAAAGGGAAGTTTCATCCCTTTGAATAAAATAAAATCACTTTTAGGATGAATATCATACACTATTTTTTCTACAAACGCATTAAAAGTGATTACTTTTACCACTCAGTGTTAAAAGTAATCACTTTTAACACCAGTGTCATAAAATGGCATTTTAGATACTGACAGCATCCCTTAAAAATGACAGTTTGATTGACGTTTCTAGAAAAACATAATTTTATGCATGCTGCAGCATGCGATAATCATTGATGGTGCATTTTTTATATAAATCAAAGGCGTAGCCACAGGGAAGTTGGGCGACTCCCTGCAAATCCCCAAAAAGTTAATGCCCATTATTTTTTTTATTTTTTTATTCAAATTATTGGCAAATATAAGCAGTGTTCGTTTTTGACATCTTTTTGTCGATTTGCTCGGAAATTTTGACAGGCACGTGATTTGCAAATTGAAAATGACTGATCCGGTCACATGCCTGTCGAAATTTTAGAGGAAATCGACGAAAAAGATGACAAAAAAGAACACGGTCATAATAAAATATGTCAAAATTAGAAACTTCATCAAAAATTGTTTTATTCTCAACTACGAGGAACACAAAAATTTAGCACCTCACAAATTTCCCGCCAAAATCTTAACACACCTCAACACTGAAAGTTCGACAGTCAAATTATGACCAATTTGATTTATATGGACCGCAGGACGTCTAACGGCATACTGAGAATAGAATAGAATAGAAAAATACTTTTTTCTACGAGCGTGCATTTTTTATTACTTTCCTGCACGCATCTTAGTTCCGAAAATGTCACTTTCCCGCACTAGTGCGCGATTTTGTTTTTCCCGCACTAGTGCGGGAAAGTTCTATTCCCGCACTAGTGCGGGAAAGTGGCGTTCAGAAGAAGTGTCAGTTTTGTTAATTAATCAAACATTTTATCTATTTTGTCTGCCTACATTTTGGCTAGATATACTATTATGCGCTCATAAACTATTTTAAATATTCCTATTTTCTATTTTAATCCATATTAATCTAATTTGTGAATATTTCAAAAATGTTATAATTTTTTTTGACATTGTTTGACTTTTTGGTTCCTTTGAGGCGGGGCAGTTCTTTTACCTTAGAAATTTTGTTTATTGTAACATCAAATCGATTTAATACATAATATTTTTCAATCATTCTTGAAAGTAAACGTAAAAATATAAAAATAAGTAATTTTGTAATTAAATTTCTTTAATAATATATCGCTTTAAATTTACTTAGTTTTTGTTTTTATATTTGAACGCGCTCGTAGAAAAAATAATGTTCCTAACTCATGCGGAAAGTGTCTTTCCCACACTCGACTGCTTGCCCGAACTCCGCTTCTCGTCGTTCGGGTCAACGGCAGTCGCGTGCGGGAAAGTATCACTTTCCGCACTTGTTAGGAAAATAACTATTTCTACAAACGTCACTAAAAGTGTAATTTTTAATGGATGCTGTCAGTGTCTTGATGTTGAAACATGTACTTATGATCATCTACTGAACATGCTGAATATGAAGTCCTTGAATGAAAGGAGAATTAATTTTGATAAGGTATTTATTTATAAAATACTTAATAACAATATAGATTGTAGTGACCTCCTGCAACTTGTTCAATTTCATGCTCCTCCTAGATCACTTAGAGTTGTGAATACATTTAGTATTGAAAACCATCGCACCAATTATGGTCAATTCTCATCCATAAATAGAATGATGTCTCATGCAAATGAATTGAGAATTGACTTGTTTAACACCTCCTTGTACTCCCTTAGGGCGGCGCTTAATAATCAATAGATTAAGATTAGGCACCTAACCTTCAAAGGGATGGAACACTCCACATTCGGCGTCGTGTCCCAAACTTCCTGTTTCACAAAATGAAATGTCACTTTTAGCACTTATATCATAAATAACCATTATTGTCAAGAATACAGGTTCTGTAGACAAATCACATATCATAATACTGACTAAAACTAAGTTGTATAAACGAATTTCAAAAACAGTAGGTAGGTACATTTAACACATTAACATTTTAAATACCTAACATTACGAGGAGAAAATTGATTAAATCATTAACTAAAACCAAACAAGACATATAGGGCTAGAGGAATTTTGAATTTTTTTTCTGAGAGGTGGATGATTTCATGTGTTACTAAATTATGTCCTCCAAAAATGGCAGTCTTAAATGTGGCAGAAATCAGGTCCCCTTAGGGCCAAATTATGGACTGACTGGTAAACATCTGGTTGTTACCTAGCAGGTACTTTCTATGCTCTAGATAATACAAAGTACCTGCTAGGTAACAACTAGACACTTACCAGTTGATCCATAATTTGGCCTTTAGCAGTTTATATGAGAATTGGAAAGCCGATAGATGTTCCTCCATTTATAAGGGATATTATTTTGAACACCGGACAGCGGAGAAGATGCAAATCGGCGTCACTGTTCATCAATGTGTAAATAACAAAATTTGATATACAGAACTTGTTTTGGTACAGTTTTGTTATTTCCATACTATTCCATGTACAAAAACAAAACTATCCTTACCCAAGTAAGATTCCCAACATACAACTGATGTCTTCTTCCAGGTGCACTATGATTCGTACTCAAGTTATTTGCAGAAGTACCATTGGTACCGTCGGATCCTTCAAATTTAGTATCCGCATTCTCAGTACTGTTTCCAGCCCCAGTTGCTATTACATCGTCGTATAAGTCAACGTTGTCTCCTGTATATTCGTCCTTAAAATAACACACAATAATCAATACAAAATAAAAACGTGAACCTGGCTATAGACGCTGACCGGCTATCAATCAATTCGATTTCTTATTTTGCACCACAAAAAAGGTTTGTAGGGGTGATTTGTTATATTCTAAAGAATGCTGGCACGGTAGATCTAATAAAAATGCTTTGGAATTATGAACATTAGCACTTACTTGGGCAAAATCTTGGTCAATATCATCCGCGTACAAATCTATATCATTATCGGCCATTTTTGCTGAAATAACAGGATCTAGGATAGCTGTCTGTCTTTGTGGTGGGCTACCGATGCGCCCTCTACGTCAACAAAACAACACCTAAAAAAAATGACAGTGTCAAAAGCTGGGTTCGATCAAGGATAATAAGGATTGCTTATCGGCTTCATCGCCGTCATATTGGTGTGTCACCATTTCCGACGTCATTAACAAGTCTTCAGCTGTTTGCACTAGAGGTCGTAGTTTAGAATAAGTATTTATTTACTTCTTTTTATACTGTGTGTGTGATGCATGTGAATTGGAGAGGGTTACTATTTCGGTTTATTCGAAAATTTACTTCGGAAATTTATTTCATTTTAAACTAAGAATAACGAACCATACCTAAACTTATAACGCCGTTTTCGGCTTTACTGCTCCCTGTCTAGGCGTTGATGTCGTTGATCTCTGCGGGAGTGCTCCGTGATCGATTCTAAATAATCCAAACGATGGCACAGCTTTTGAAATCAATAGCTGAACGTACTTTTATTAGTTGTATTCCTTTCAAGAGTTTAAAACACCAGAGCTACTCGCTCCGGTTTCACTCGACCCTGATTTGAAAGGAACAGATGCGCTGGCTTTCATGCATTCAAATGGTTTTGTGAAAGGATTACAACTAGTGTAGGTGGGTTCGGCTTGCTCACTCCGTGCACTCCGAGTGACTCCATTCGCACTCCAGCCGTACGGGTTAAGGTTCGGGTATTGCTTTTCACCGTATTAGGGGTGACTCCATTAGCTCTGTTCACTCCACTCCAACTCCGCGCTAAATAGCCGAACCCAGCTTGTTTTGAGTTTTGAGCAAACTCTTTGATCCATAAAATTTGACGGAGCAAGAAAGAGCGCTCCATGCGAGATTTGAGAGCATTCTATTGCTCAAGTCGAACACATGAATCTCGCTGAGAGCAACGCTCCGTTTTAAACCCAAAGTGTGAATCCCTTTCGGATCGCTTTTTGATCAACCAGGGGCAGCTTGGGGGGCGATAGTCGAAAGCGCAAATAAACTGACACAGTCGAATCAAAACGCACCGCAAAAAGTATTCCTTCGGGACTTGAATTTGATAGGGTGGGAACCTTAGGCGAGAACATATTGCGGTTTTTAACTTTTTGCGGTGGAAAATCAAAATTAAATGAAATAATTCAACTTCATTCGAAGTGCTTTTTGTGCCATGTTTATTTATACATTTTCTGACTTCATTGACTCCAACGCCAGGGTACCCTCCCGCTCCCGAACCCAGCTAATCACTACAACCACTTTTCCTATCTCTTAACCAAAGAATTTCTACAATCCGAATTTCCTAACTGCAACTGTCTGATTGGATCACTGTAGTTGTATTCCTTTGAAGAGTTTAGAACACTAGACCTACTCGCTCCGGTGTTAGTCGACGCCGATTTGAAAGCATTTGAATTTACATTGAAGTGCCGAGCGACTAAAAAGCAGTGAGCGTTTTTGAGGACGAGAATACCGGCCCAGATGCGCTGGCTTTCGTGCATTTGAATTTCAGGTGCAACCTCAATAGTTGTATTCCTTTCAAGAGTTTAGAACACTAGAGCTACTCGCTCCAATCGCTCCGGTGCTAGTCGACCCCGATTTGAAAGGAACAGATGCGCTGGCTTTCGTGCATTTAAATGGTTTGATTCCGTCTCGAGCACTTCACGTGCAACAAACACTTTTCGAAGGGAATAAGCGCGTAAGGCCGGATTTTCATGCATCCGTTTTCCGACGAAATATGTCCGAAAAATCTTCTATTTTGACATATTTTCATACGATTATGGTCAGAATAGAATGTTAATTTTTCGGACATCTTTCGTCGGAAAAACGGATGTATGAAACTCCAGCTTAAAGCCTGCGAAATTCGCATTTTTTTGACATTGCGTTGAAAATTTGATGTTTTATGCGTGTATCAAACGTCAAATTGTCGAAGCAATGTCAAAAAAATGCGAATTTCGCAGTTATGAGTACTAGGCTTAAGAGAGGATTTTCATGCATCCGTTTTTCCGTCGAAATATGTCCGTTTAACATTCTATTCTGACATAATCGTATATAAATATGTCAAAATAGAATGTTAAACGGACATATTTCGTCGGAAAAACGGATGCATGAAAATCCTCCCTAAAGCCTAGTACTCATAACTGCGAAATTCGCATTTTTTTGACATTGCGTTGACAATCTGACGTTTTATGCGTGTATCAAACGTCAAATTGTCGAAGCAATGTCAAAAAAATGCGAATTTCGCAGTTATGAGTACTAGGCTTAAAGCCTTGTACTCATAACTGCGAAATTCGCACTTTTTTGACATTGCTTCGACAAATTGACGTTTTATGCGTGAATTAAACGTCAAATTATCGAAGCAATGTCAAAAAAAGCGAATTCCGCAGTTATGAGTACTAGGCTTAAGAAAGGAATAAGCGCATATCGCCCCGGAGCTGTTCCGGAGCTCCGCCTAGGTGTGAAAGGAATACAACTTATACCGCACACAATAGGGTCTGTTTCTGCAAAAATCACAGACCAGTCAGAGCGAATTTTATTGGTTGAAAACAGTCAGAAAACTAGTTTCAACCAATTAAATTTGCTCTGACTGGTTTGTGATTTCTGCAGAAACAGACCTATTATCGCACCCCAAGGATAATACACACTACTATTGGATAGCCGATCCTCATAGAACCTGTGTCGAACAAATCTGAAGCCCCCCACCTCGCCAAATCACCAGTTGTGACGAAGACAGCATGTTTATTCTCGCCTTGACGTAGTAGGCTGTTTGCACTACAGAGGTTATGAATCCGAGGGCTTTCGCTTTATGCATACTTGGTTTCACTGCACGTTAAATCAACACTCTAACAACCCTTTCATAGATCTAGTTCTCATCTTCCTCTTTGCCTATTATGTTAATCAAAATTAAATATTTTTCATCATAAAGATGGAGGCACAATTAACACTGACCAAAGCACAAAGCACCAGTGACAGATCTATTGTGACAATGTACCCTTTGTTTTGAAATTCTTTTAATATTTTTGACCAAATATCTTTATTTTTTATTTTTGAATTTCGGAATTGTTCATTTTTTTCCTTGTATAAATTCAAAAGAAGCAATGTAACCTGTTTGGTCCATTTGAATTCAGTTTTTGGATTGGTTTCAATATCTACAAAAAGAATTTATGCAGTTAACTTATCACCCTACAAGAAGTTTCTTTTTTTGTGTGAAAAAAGTCTTACCCTTACCTGAACATGATGACCACAATGATTGAAAGTCAGTACTTGTACTGGGAGTAGGGTCACAGCTAGCACCAAAACCAGTATTTTGTTTATTTCCTATGTCTACAAATTATGGAAAAACTTAATTTAAAACAATATATGGACTGTGAACTGTGAACATACCACACTGATTATTTGATTTTTGTTGGCATCCTTGTGAATCAACACTGTCTATCGGAAAATAGTTTTTTTTGGTGAGACTTGCAAAATATTCATCAGAAAAGTCTGAATCTAGAAAATATATTATTGAATCAAATATTTGAATGGAATGAAAATCTTACCATTCTGAAGCCGATAATGGAATTCTCCATTACCAACAACTGTATAAAAATTATCTTTGAAATCATAGGTGATCTCCAAGTTTTCACCCATTTTCACGGCTAAACGCTTTAAACGCTAACATGGAAAAAACAAATATTTTCAAAATAATCCAATTATTTAAATAATTATACTAACCAATAACAAAAAACTTGTTTGTTTACTTTAATGACACTTGACATAAAAAACGGTTGATGCATCGAACTGTTTTATGATGGAAAAAATGGCGTCCGCTCGCAGAGCGATGCGAAGTGATCATCGCGTTCATCAGAAAACTGATGATCGCTACAGTAGCGCTACGTCCTGATGAACGGCACCAATGTCTCTCCACCTCCATATTCCTGATTTCAGTTCTTTTTTTTCCTGGCTCACTTCACACAAATTTGTTCCAGTTTTTTTTTTACAAAAATGTTTGTAAAATGTAAATATGAAATTTGAAATCGGAACCAAAGCAAACAAAACACCTAACCTCATTTTATTAACTAGCCGCGGTTATCTTGTTCTAAATTCCAGACCAACGAGCAATTTAAAGTTAATTGCCAATAGGCGAAAAAAACGCTTGGTGCATATGAAAAATATTTTGTGATCACGGCTAAAGTCTTAATCAGAGAATTTGTGCAATGGTGCATTCGGGCATCAGGGGGGTGAGTGGGGTGACGTTCTATCATTGAAAAGTTGAATCGGTCAGCAGAACCAAGAGTTTACAGTTTACCCAACGTATTCTGTCGGCTGTTCGTATTTGTAAACTGTTTACAACCCGTTTTGGTTCTGCTGAACGCTTGATCAATCCGAATTTGATGGTGCAAGAAAGTGCGCTCCGTACATGATTTGAGAGCGTGATCATTGAACTATCGTGACGAATTTCCGTATCGCTAGCTCGTCGCTCCGTCGTTACCAAGGATAATACACTCTACTAAGGATTGCTTATCGGCCTCGTTTTTGGTAATCGCGGTCATATGATGTAACACCATTGTCGACGTCATTAACTAAGTCGTCAACCGTTTGCGCCAGTGGTCGTAGTTTAGAATTTATATTTATGATGAAAAATAATAATTTTCTACGACCGTGCGATTTTGCCTACTTTCCCGCACTGAGTGCAGGAAAGTTACTTTCCCGCATTCAGTGCGGGAAAGTCACTTTTTAACAAAACTGCCTTCATTTATATCTGTTTTTTACCAGTCGTTCTTTGTACAGGTTTTTTAATATCAGGTCTGTTTCTGCAGCAATCACAAACCAGTCGGAGCGAATTTCATTGGTTGAAAACAGTCAGAAACAGTCAGAAAACTAGTTTCAACCAATGAAATTCACTGTGACTGGTTTGTGATTTCTGCAGAAACAGACCTGTTAATGCCAGTGTGTGTCAAACTTTTTGTTGAGTTGTCACATTATTTTAAATTATGTAATCACTTCTACTCAATAAATTTCCTGATTGGTACATCCTGCACATCCGTTTTCTTGGTAATTCAGACACTCAGAAGAGAGTTCAATAGAAGAAATAGTATATAGAACGTAGAAAATCCCAATCCCAATTGACCCAAAATATCCATCGACAAGCAGTCATTCGCAAATCGCAGAAGGCACTAGGTGCTAAGATCAGAAACCTCGTCTTCAGCGACTTCACCTATGTAACCGATGACTTGGCATTCTTGGCAATGGCGTCGAACACTCATCCCAGCAGTAGTAATATTATACCAGTTTATTGAAGAATCAGAATCTACATGATTGTCGTCGACGATTAATTTACAAAATGCATCCAATTGCACTTTCACGATCAGTATCTATGATAATAAATAAATGTGGATTATTTAAATGCGTGCAATATAAGTTTACTGAAAAACCGCATACCTATTTTCTTTGTGCTCTCTTGGCTACGGTCGTAGAAAAAATTTTGATCCTAACTCATGCATAAAGTATCTTTCCCGCCCTTGACTGCTTGCCCGAACTCCGCAGTCGCGTGCTTTACTTTCTGCACTTGTTAGGATAATAACTATTAATATTGATTGACATAATAGGCAAAGAGGAAGATGCAAACGCGATCTAAAAAAGAGTTGTTTAGAATGTTAATTAAATATGTAGTAAAACTAAGTACGCATGAAGCAAAAGCCGGCGCAATCAGAACCTGTGGGGCAAACAGCCTACGTCAAGGTGAGAAACGACACGCTGCCACGTCATCACTGGTGCTTTGTGCTTTGGTCAGTGTTAATTGTGCCTCCATCTTTATGATGAAAAATATTTAATTTTGATTAACATAATAGGCAAAGAGGAAGATGAGAACTAGATCTATGAAAGGGTTGTTAGAGTGTTGATTTAACGTGCAGTGAAACCAAGTATGCATAAAGCGAAAGCCCTCGGATTCATAACCTCTGTAGTGCAAACAGCCTACTACGTCAAGGCGAGAATAAACATGCTGTCTTCGTCACAACTGGTGATTTGGCGAGGTGGGGGGCTTCAGATTTGTTCGACACAGGTTCTATGAGGATCGGCTATCCAATAGTAGTGTGTATTATCCTTGGGGTGCGATAATAGGTCTGTTTCTGCAGAAATCACAAACCAGTCAGAGCAAATTTAATTGGTTGAAACTAGTTTTCTGACTGTTTTCAACCAATAAAATTCGCTCTGACTGGTCTGTGATTTTTGCAGAAACAGACCCTATTGTGTGCGGTATAAGTTGTATTCCTTTCACACCTAGGCGGAGCTCCGGAACAGCTCCGGGGCGATATGCGCTTATTCCTTTCTTAAGCCTAGTACTCATAACTGCGGAATTCGCTTTTTTTGACATTGCTTCGATAATTTGACGTTTAATTCACGCATAAAACGTCAATTTGTCGAAGCAATGTCAAAAAAGTGCGAATTTCGCAGTTATGAGTACAAGGCTTTAAGCCTAGTACTCATAACTGCGAAATTCGCATTTTTTTGACATTGCTTCGACAATTTGACGTTTGATACACGCATAAAACGTCAGATTGTCAACGCAATGTCAAAAAAATGCGAATTTCGCAGTTATGAGTACTAGGCTTAAAGCCTTGTACTCATAACTGCGAAATTCGCACTTTTTTGACATTGCTTCGACAAATTGACGTTTTATGCGTGAATTAAACGTCAAATTATCGAAGCAATGTCAAAAAAAGCGAATTCCGCAGTTATGAGTACTAGGCTTAAGAAAGGAATAAGCGCATATCGCCCCGGAGCTGTTCCGGAGCTCCGCCTAGGTGTGAAAGGAATACAACTTATACCGCACACAATAGGGTCTGTTTCTGCAAAAATCACAGACCAGTCAGAGCGAATTTTATTGGTTGAAAACAGTCAGAAAACTAGTTTCAACCAATTAAATTTGCTCTGACTGGTTTGTGATTTCTGCAGAAACAGACCTATTATCGCACCCCAAGGATAATACACACTACTATTGGATAGCCGATCCTCATAGAACCTGTGTCGAACAAATCTGAAGCCCCCCACCTCGCCAAATCACCAGTTGTGACGAAGACAGCATGTTTATTCTCGCCTTGACGTAGTAGGCTGTTTGCACTACAGAGGTTATGAATCCGAGGGCTTTCGCTTTATGCATACTTGGTTTCACTGCACGTTAAATCAACACTCTAACAACCCTTTCATAGATCTAGTTCTCATCTTCCTCTTTGCCTATTATGTTAATCAAAATTAAATATTTTTCATCATAAAGATGGAGGCACAATTAACACTGACCAAAGCACAAAGCACCAGTGATGACGTGGCAGCGTGTCGTTTCTCACCTTGACGTAGGCTGTTTGCCCCACAGGTTCTGATTGCGCCGGCTTTTGCTTCATGCGTACTTAGTTTTACTACATATTTAATTAACATTCTAAACAACTCTTTTTTAGATCGCGTTTGCATCTTCCTCTTTGCCTATTATGTCAATCAATATTAATAGTTATTATCCTAACAAGTGCAGAAAGTAAAGCACGCGACTGCGGAGTTCGGGCAAGCAGTCAAGGGCGGGAAAGATACTTTATGCATGAGTTAGGATCAAAATTTTTTCTACGACCGTAGCCAAGAGAGCACAAAGAAAATAGGTATGCGGTTTTTCAGTAAACTTATATTGCACGCATTTAAATAATCCACATTTATTTATTATCATAGATACTGATCGTGAAAGTGCAATTGGATGCATTTTGTAAATTAATCGTCGACGACAATCATGTAGATTCTGATTCTTCAATAAACTGGTATAATATTACTACTGCTGGGATGAGTGTTCGACGCCATTGCCAAGAATGCCAAGTCATCGGTTACATAGGTGAAGTCGCTGAAGACGAGGTTTCTGATCTTAGCACCTAGTGCCTTCTGCGATTTGCGAATGACTGCTTGTCGATGGATATTTTGGGTCAATTGGGATTGGGATTTTCTACGTTCTATATACTATTTCTTCTATTGAACTCTCTTCTGAGTGTCTGAATTACCAAGAAAACGGATGTGCAGGATGTACCAATCAGGAAATTTATTGAGTAGAAGTGATTACATAATTTAAAATAATGTGACAACTCAACAAAAAGTTTGACACACACTGGCATTAACAGGTCTGTTTCTGCAGAAATCACAAACCAGTCACAGTGAATTTCATTGGTTGAAACTAGTTTTCTGACTGTTTCTGACTGTTTTCAACCAATGAAATTCGCTCCGACTGGTTTGTGATTGCTGCAGAAACAGACCTGATATTAAAAAACCTGTACAAAGAACGACTGGTAAAAAACAGATATAAATGAAGGCAGTTTTGTTAAAAAGTGACTTTCCCGCACTGAATGCGGGAAAGTAACTTTCCTGCACTCAGTGCGGGAAAGTAGGCAAAATCGCACGGTCGTAGAAAATTATTATTTTTCATCATAAATATAAATTCTAAACTACGACCACTGGCGCAAACGGTTGACGACTTAGTTAATGACGTCGACAATGGTGTTACATCATATGACCGCGATTACCAAAAACGAGGCCGATAAGCAATCCTTAGTAGAGTGTATTATCCTTGGTAACGACGGAGCGACGAGCTAGCGATACGGAAATTCGTCACGATAGTTCAATGATCACGCTCTCAAATCATGTACGGAGCGCACTTTCTTGCACCATCAAATTCGGATTGATCAAGCGTTCAGCAGAACCAAAACGGGTTGTAAACAGTTTACAAATACGAACAGCCGACAGAATACGTTGGGTAAACTGTAAACTCTTGGTTCTGCTGACCGATTCAACTTTTCAATGATAGAACGTCACCCCACTCACCCCCCTGATGCCCGAATGCACCATTGCACAAATTCTCTGATTAAGACTTTAGCCGTGATCACAAAATATTTTTCATATGCACCAAGCGTTTTTTTCGCCTATTGGCAATTAACTTTAAATTGCTCGTTGGTCTGGAATTTAGAACAAGATAACCGCGGCTAGTTAATAAAATGAGGTTAGGTGTTTTGTTTGCTTTGGTTCCGATTTCAAATTTCATATTTACATTTTACAAACATTTTTGTAAAAAAAAAACTGGAACAAATTTGTGTGAAGTGAGCCAGGAAAAAAAAGAACTGAAATCAGGAATATGGAGGTGGAGAGACATTGGTGCCGTTCATCAGGACGTAGCGCTACTGTAGCGATCATCAGTTTTCTGATGAACGCGATGATCACTTCGCATCGCTCTGCGAGCGGACGCCATTTTTTCCATCATAAAACAGTTCGATGCATCAACCGTTTTTTATGTCAAGTGTCATTAAAGTAAACAAACAAGTTTTTTGTTATTGGTTAGTATAATTATTTAAATAATTGGATTATTTTGAAAATATTTGTTTTTTCCATGTTAGCGTTTAAAGCGTTTAGCCGTGAAAATGGGTGAAAACTTGGAGATCACCTATGATTTCAAAGATAATTTTTATACAGTTGTTGGTAATGGAGAATTCCATTATCGGCTTCAGAATGGTAAGATTTTCATTCCATTCAAATATTTGATTCAATAATATATTTTCTAGATTCAGACTTTTCTGATGAATATTTTGCAAGTCTCACCAAAAAAAACTATTTTCCGATAGACAGTGTTGATTCACAAGGATGCCAACAAAAATCAAATAATCAGTGTGGTATGTTCACAGTTCACAGTCCATATATTGTTTTAAATTAAGTTTTTCCATAATTTGTAGACATAGGAAATAAACAAAATACTGGTTTTGGTGCTAGCTGTGACCCTACTCCCAGTACAAGTACTGACTTTCAATCATTGTGGTCATCATGTTCAGGTAAGGGTAAGACTTTTTTCACACAAAAAAAGAAACTTCTTGTAGGGTGATAAGTTAACTGCATAAATTCTTTTTGTAGATATTGAAACCAATCCAAAAACTGAATTCAAATGGACCAAACAGGTTACATTGCTTCTTTTGAATTTATACAAGGAAAAAAATGAACAATTCCGAAATTCAAAAATAAAAAATAAAGATATTTGGTCAAAAATATTAAAAGAATTTCAAAACAAAGGGTACATTGTCACAATAGATCTGTTAGACAGAAAATTCAGGAATATGAAAAAAACCTATAAAGACAATAAAGATAAAAAAAAAGACTACTGGGGAATCATCCATAACATGGGAATATTTTGAAATTATGGATGAGATCTTTTTCAATGATAAAACAATGAACCCAACAACCACAATATCTTCAATGGAACCAGTTCTAAAAAATTCCAAAGTAAATTTAAACTCTGAAGTTAGTACAATCGTTAAAGTATCGGACAAGGAGAATCAGGAACCAAAAGTGGAGAAAAAATCCGAAAAAGAACTGACAAAAGTCATTAAAGCGAAAAGAGTCAAGCATCTATATGATCATCGAAAAAAAATACAGGAAATAGAAAATCAAAGATTAGAAGAGGTGCAAAAATTGAGACAAGCAATACAGAGAAACAATAATATTCAAGAAGAAAGGAATGAACTTTTAAGGCAAATGCTGTCGAGAAATTGAACTAGTTAGATAGTTACTTATATACATGTATTTCTTTTCCTATTCTATAATGTATGTAAATTGTTGTGGATTTAAGTTTAGGTGCTGTAGAAGTTTGTTAATGTTAATTTATTATTCCTATTTGTTTCTGGAAAAAACCGGTAAGTTTAAGCGTTGAATACCTAAGTAATATAGTTTTTTTTTCAGTTCCTATATTCTGTGATACCTCTAGGTTTGAATTGAAGTTATTTTAGTTTATTTTTGTAAACTCTTTTAACAACCTAGTCTTGAAATATGCAATAGGTACCTAGTACAGCTAAATACTTTGGATAGTTAGGTGCCATTGTGATAAAAAGAAGTAGTACTACAAAAATCTCCTCTCTGATGTCTGCCTGTATTAATATGCCATTGCTCAAATCCAAAATATTAAAATGTTGATTTTCTGGATCCTTTTTTTTATCGCAATGATACTTGTTTTTCTGTTCCTCTGTAAGCTGTATTATTTTGTTTGAATATGTTTATTTTTTGTTTGTTTGATAATCTCAAGTTTTTTTTTGACAAAAGAAGTTAATTTAGGCCGGAATTACCTAAATCCTTAATTCTTTGTATTTGTCCTTAATTCTTAATTCCTAATTTATTTAACATTGAGGTTTTTAAAGATTGAGAATTAAGTACAAATATTAAGAATTGAGAAATTGGGTAACTTATTTTGTTTGAATATGTTTTTTTTTTTTTGATAATCTTAAGTGTTTTTTGATAAAAATATGTTTATTTATGGAAGTTACTCAATTCCTTAATTCTTAGTATTTGTCCTTAATTCTCAATTCTTAAAAAGTTCAATTTATTTAACATTGAGGTTTTCAAAGATTGAGAATTAAGTACAAATATTAAGAATTGAGAAATTGGGTAACTTATTTTGTTTGAATATGTTTATTTTTTTTCTGATAATCTTAAGTGTCTTTTGATAAAAATTTGTTTATTTAAGGAAGTTGCCCAATTCCTCAATTCTTAGTATTTGTCCTTAATTCTCAATTCTTAAAAAATTCAATTTATTTAACATTGAGGTTTTCAAAGATTGAGAATTAAGTACAAATATTAAGAATTGAGAAATTGGGTAACTTATTTTGTTTGAATATGTTTTTTTTTTTTGATAATCTTAAGTGTTTTTTGATAAAAATATGTTTATTTAGGGGTTACTCAGTTCCTCAATTCTTAGTATTTGTCCTGAATTGTCAATTCCTAAAAACTTCAATTTATTTAACATAGAGGTTTTTAAAGATTGAGAATTAAGTCCAAATATTAAGAATTGAGTAACTTATTTTGTTTGAATATATATTTATTTTTTTTTGATAATCTCCAGTGTTTTTTTGATAATAAGATGTTTATTTAGAAAAGTTACCCAATTTTCTGACTCTTGGTAATTGTCCTTAATTCTTGATTCCTAAAAAGTTCAGTAATTATTTAACATTGAGATTTTTAAAGATTGAGAATTAAATACAAATATCAAGAATTGAGGACTTGGGTAACTTAGTTTGTTTGAATATGTTTATTTTTTTTGGTAATCTCAAGTGTTTTTTGATCTTTATTTAGGCCGAAGTTACCCAATTCCTTAATTCTTAGTATTTGTCCTTAATTCGTAATTCCTAAAAAGTTTAATTTATGTAACATTGAGGTTTTTAAAGATTGAGAATTAAGTACAAATATTAAGAATTGGGTAACTCCGGCCTAGTTTCACGGTGGTAAATTAGGTTTGTAACTACTTTCAATAAACAAACAAAAATGGAGTCTGTATTTTATTTTTATTCAAATTAACACCAACATATTATATTTTAGGAAAAAAAAGTACATTAATTTATAAAAATTAATATTACAGTGATACATATTGAATCTACATAATTCAACACTTACCTGTGCTGTAATGAGTGTAATGTAGACAGGGTATTTTTTATTTGGGGTTTTCCTTTTCTGATGACTTAAAACTTTGAAAAAACAACGAATTTTATGAAAAACTCAAAAATAAAGGAGATAAAGATGATCATTTTAAATATGTAATATCAAAAATCAAATAAGTCCATTTGCAAAAACTTTATCTATTACAAAAAAAAGGGAACATTCTAACAAGAATTTTACCTTTTTTTGTACTAATTAAAGAAAAGCACAGGGACTTAACTAGATTTTTGGTTTTTGCCAACCTAAAAAACACCCTGTATAGAAATATAATGGAATAAAAAAATTTAATACTTAAAATTACAAATACCTTAAATATCTACTTAATATATTTATTAGACTAATAAATTTGTACAAATATTATCTCGTTTTTCTGCAGCTGTATCTCCAAGTTCTTCATTATTTTCATCAACTCCATCACCATCCTCGTTTGCTAATGCAGTAAGTAAGGTTATGTCACTACAAGGCATAGCTGATAATAAAAATACCCAAAAATACTGCAAATTTTGCAAAAAAAAAGTTGTTTCATCGTTGGATTGTGGTGTCTGCAAGACCAGCTTTCACCCCAGTTGTGGGATACAGGCGGGGGTTGCTGATAGCGGTAACAAAGTTACTTGTTGCAAAACGCTCGACAAAAGTGAGGCTAGAAACATCATGGACGAAAAACAAATGAAAGCCCTGCTCGAAAAAACGTTCAAAAACCACTTTGAACCTTTCAAAAATACTATGCAGAAAGAAATAAGTGAAATAAAAAAATCCATGCAGTTTTTATCAGATAGTTTTGAAGAACAAAAAAAACAGATCCAAACAACAGTTGAAGAAATCAAGCACCTTAAGAAGGAAAATAACGAACTGAAGGAAAAGGTGGACTCAATGGAAGAAAGGATCAATGAAATTGAACAGAGAGAAAAGGAGAAAAATATCGTTATATCTGGTATACCCAAGCAAGAAGAACTGGTGAGCGAAACAATGAAAAAGGTCTTTAAAGCTCTAAAAGTGCCTATACATGAAGGTGATGCCCAGGAAATTTTCCGATTAAACAAAAACGAAGGCGCGCCCATATTACTAAAACTCAGAAGCACAACAATAAAACACGAATTGATGTCAAAAATAAGGCAACTGAAGGGACTTAAGCTGAACGAATGTGGCTTGACCGGAGGTCCAAAGAACATATATTTTAATGAGGACTTAACACGTCAGAATCAGATGCTTTTTAAAAGGGTAAGGGACACAAAAAAGGAAAAGAATTATTACAAAGCGTATGTCTTAAATGGAAAAGTATTTCTCAAAAAAAATGAAAATGACAGACCAGTAAGGATTAAAAATGAGAACGATATAGAGCAGTTATAAATAAAAGATATGTAAATACAATGTAAATAATAAAAAATATTTATTCATTTAAAATGGAGACTGAAAACCTGACTGAAAAAATGGAGCAAAAACTAAATGTTCTATATATCAATATAAGAAGCGTTAGAAATAAACTAAATGATATTAATGATGTTATACTAGCACACAAAAAAATTATACATTTGATAGTCCTAACAGAAACTTGGATCTACCCAAACGAGAAAGACTGTTTTAAATTAAATAACTACACTGCACTACATGATTGCAGAGATACACGTGGTGGGGGATGTAGTATCTACATACGTGAAGATCTACATTATGTCCAAAGCAACAAGCATAAAATACAAATTGAAGATTGCAATATCGTATTTCTCTACCTACCAAAACAAAAGCTCTCCGTAATAGCTATATATAGACCCCCACATAGCAACTGTGAATTTTTCTCAAACAAACTTGACACAATACTGGAACAACAAAAAAATGAGTGCATAATAATAGGAGACATGAACTTAGATTTATTGAAGCAATCACAAACTATCAATAACTACCAAAACCACACCAAAACATTATACAAATGAATGGATTTAAGTTCCAGAATGAAGTGCTGCAACAAAATGCAACTAGGGTGACTAGCAATACAGCATCTATCCTGGACCATATAATAACAAATCAAAATTTAGCCTGCACTATTAAACTACAGGACAGTGACCTATCGGACCACAAAGTTATGTACATAGAAATTAAAAAAGCAATATATTTAAAGAAAAAAGAAAAAGTAAAACGAAGTTTTTTAATGGAAAATAAATGGCTAAATCATATGCAGGAAAAAATAGAACAACATCAAATAACAACTTTTCAACAACTAGCTGAAATCATAAATACCTCAAAAAATGAATGCACGAAAGAATACAGTATAAAAATAAAACAAAACAATTATTGGATAACAAACAATTACCTATCTAAGCTCAAGGAGAAGGACGCACTGTATGTTAGGTGGAAACGAATTAAAAATGAATATTGTGAAACGGAGTTTAAAAAAGCCAAAAACCAACTAAACAACCTTAGAAAAAAACTGCAGAAACAGTATGCAGAAAGACGGTTTAATGAAGCAACGGGCAACGCAAAGAAGACCTGGGCAGTACTAAATGAAATATGTAATACCAATAAAAAAAATAAAAAAAAAATACATCAAATAATCAACTCTAGTGGAAAGTTAGTTAAAAATAACAAAGAAATGGCTCAAGAATTCAATACGCATTTTTCCAAAATAGGAGATACTTTAGCAGACAAAATAAAACAAAATTCAAAAACTCTTTTCAACGAGGAGGAAGTTGAGGAAAGCATAATTCTTGAACCAACAACCCTTACAGAAATGAAAGAAACGATCAATACCTTAAAAAACAACTGTGCTCCAGGCATGGATGGTGTATTGAAAAAAGATTTGCAAACTCTATATTACATTATTGGAACAAAAATGGTAGAACTTGTTAATAACGTCCTGCAAACGGGAATTTACCCTGAAGAACTCAAAATTGCTAAAATCATCCCAATATTCAAAAAAGGCGAGCACGATAACATAAATAACTATAGGCCAATTTCACTACTCAGTACTTTTTCCAAAGTGTTAGAAAAAATTATCAAGACCCGATTAATAAATTTCATTGAAACAAATTTTAAGTTTGATAAACAGCAATATGGGTTTCAATGTAAAAGTAGCACACAAGGAGCAGCAGTGGATATGTTGGAATATGTTTCCAGTGAGTTGGACAAAAGCAAATATGTCATAACTGTGTTTGTCGACCTTCAAAAAGCCTTCGACACGGTTAATATAGAGTTAATGATGAGCAAACTATATAAAATGGGTTTCCGTGGACCATGCTATAACCTGCTAAAATCTTACTCTACTGGAAGAAAGCACTTTACAACAATAAATAGTGAGAGTAGTGAACAACTTAACTTGAATGTAGGAGTTGCCCAAGGGTCAGTGCTGGGGCCAATACTTTATTTACTGTATGTACATAGTTTGAAATATGCAAACTTAAAAGCAACCTACTTTAAATTTGTAGACGACACTGTATTGGTCTACTCAGGTGACAGTGCAATACAACTTGACGAACTTGTAAATAGTGACTTAAAGCAATATTTTAGTTGGCTGTGCTATAATAGACTTTCGTTGAACGCGCAAAAAACAGTATATATGGTTAGTAAACAAACAGGAAAACCACCCCTAAACCCACAAATAAACATAAACATAAATGAAGTACCTTTGAAAAGAGTGTGTGAATATAAGTACCTTGGCTTGCTCATTTCTGAAAAACTAACATGGGATAAGCACATTGAAACTGTGACTGG